TATGGATTCGACAACCTAATCCTAACCTAACCATTGAAAAAAAAATAGAACAACCTATAACCTAACCTAGCCTATAACTTTTGCAACCTAATCCTAACCTAACCTATAGGTTAGGTTAGGTTAGATTAGGATCAACCGGCAGGGCTCTGGTATAAAGCCTTAACGTTTTTGCTAAGAGCCCCATTTTGCTCGTTGTCATGCAATAACACATCAACGCTTTAACGTTTCGAGCTCATATTTTTAACACAAGCTAGGTGGACAGTAAGCATCAATCACTGTAAGCGCCATCGAAATCGGATGTAAGATAATAAAGTTTTATCCTGAGGACAATAGACTATTAGCAGAATCACAGAAATGTCGGCTCTTAATTCGTTATATTTAAGGAATTATGATATTTCTAGTGTAACTATGACACATCGAGCATGGGCAAATTCTTCAATTCTTGTACTGGTCATAAAATATTTGAACTCGTCAAAGTCGTTCAATATGCTGGATGCGGTATAATTCGTAGAATTCTGAGATAATAGAAATTAATTTTTTTGTACCAACGGCAAGGATTATTGAATTAATTAATCATCAGAGATAACTAAATTTAATAAAGGATTCTAGAAATTTTAACTAATTGTGAACAATTTCAGAAATTCGACGTTATTCAATATTCATTTCTACAGTTCTTGCTTTCAACATAAAACGTTGATCTCATACTTAACACTCACAGTTCTTCAATTATTCATTTGGAAAATCAATTGAGATTGCGCTTCTACGTCTTTTTTTCCAGTTTCTATTCGGAATCGAGGATCTAATAGACGCTATATACAACCTACAATTCTGTTTAACTCTTTCGCCATTTCATCTAAACGGCATTGGGCCACTGCTGTAATCAAAAATATTTTCATTTTTTATGATATACTGACTTTAGAACACAACGACATTAAGACTTTAAAATTCGTTTTAATGAATATTCTGATTCATGAATTTATCTTTTATGATCCAAATGAATATATTCCAAAAGAGAATACTCTTCAAATTGTTCTAATATTTCAGCATATAACTATCTTCTTGTTTTGACCGTGAATAGGTGAGGATGATGCTAGTATTCATCTGCATTCCAACGTTCTAATGTCAGTGTGCAGTAAGGCGGCTTATGTCTTACTTCTGCATCGTGTGTCCTAGCGTCTGATCTTTCCTATAATTTTCTATCCGATACAAATATATAACACAATGAAATAACTCGAATATTTTTGTGTTAGTAATAATTCTTGCTAAAAGTAACTTCTACTATCAACTACTATTCGTCAGATTTTAAATCTTTATCAATGACAAGCAATATTTGTTTGTAGAAAAATAACATCTAATGAATATATTATATCAAATGGTTATTAACAACTGTAAAAAGAAAATGTACAAAAACCTTATTCTTTATTGATACATACCTAACTGTTAAAAAAAACGTGAAGTTTACTTTTTGATTCTATAGAATAGATTCAAAAAAAGTAACATTACATTTGAATTCGAAACAAAAAAATAAAACATATCTAAATCTTTATTACTGAATTTAGATAAGTTTGATGTATACTTAATAAATGATCTTGAATTCGTCTTAAATCAACAAGTCTACATTCTTCATTATCAGTTTTTTCTACAAGTGATTTAATAAATTTACGTGGTAACATTGAATAAAAAGTATCTGGATCAGTTTGATAAAGATACTCAAGGACCGTATCATTTTCTAAAATTTTTGCTAAATGACGATATTTGCACGATACGTTTTCAATATAACTTGAAAAACACGTATCAAATTTTTTATCTGTTGATCTTGCTTTTTTTGTTGATATTTTCCTAACTATCATCGTCTGTTTTGACTTTTTATATTGATCTAAAGACGAATGTATACAAATAATGAACATCTACTTGAGAAGAAATAAAGAGTTACCTTTCGAATTGAATCTTAATAATGATTGATGAATGGATACAAGAACGAGTGAAATCTTGGAACACATTGCTGCTGTATCATTACGATTATCTAAATATTTTCTAATGAAAAAATAAATGTCAGTAACTGGTGGACGCTTAAAGAATGATTTCTGATCAGTTTCTGATAAGTATTCAATAATAGGCGTAAATTCTTGATCGGATATTAAATATTTTAGATATGGATGATTTTTATAACGTTTACTAATTTCATAGTTAATACGTTCATCCAATGTTGCTGTTCTACAATAAAATTGTCGAGCTTCCATAGTCTTTTCATAAATACTAAGATTAGAAAGAAAAATAAATAAATTAGTGGAGAAATAGCAAAAGTTTGATAATATAGAATATATACCTTCTTGCATTTTTATTCATACATACAAGAACACGCAAATGAACAAAAGTCAATTGATATGATACACGACGACAAATGCATTTGTATAAACCAGATTTTTGATTCGAATTTAAATGTTGGATAACAAATTCATGAATATCATCATAGGATGGACGACTGTGCAATTTTAATGGATCAGGGTTGCTAAGAAATTTCATCAGATTTGGATGTTTATGAACCTCCTTTAAATAATTGTGTTCTATAGACTGTTCTTGTAATATATTTAGAACCATTTCATTATATTGAACAGATTGTATTTGTGCTAAACAAAGTAAAAAAAATACATAAAAAAAGTTATCTGCAGTTAAATACAAAACACTTTCTTTCCCTTATCATACTTTTACAAAGCTTCAGTTCGAAGATTGTACAACAAGGATTAGAGTATAAAATCATATCGATATTTTATATCAAGACAGAACATTATCAATTTATTGTGTTTACCATCTTTATTCTTTTGTTGTTTATCATCAACGAATAGATCATGTGCTTTTGTCTGATCTAATTGAGCCAATAATGATGTATTCTTTTCGTCATACGACGATAGATTGATTAACGGCACGTGGGATGGTGAAGAATGAGTTGGAACTGAAGACAGTAATTTCATGTCATTCTTTTCGGCCGATGCGCCTCCAGCTTTTATTTGTTGTTCCTTTCGGATGAATAATGTTGGTGTTGACTCTAGAATAAATAAAATAAAATAAAATAAAAAAATATCACAGTCGAGTACTGTTCATTCGAACTCCGAGTTTCAGATTAAATCGCTGTTACTCGAAGAAAAATGTTTTACTTTTATTTATCCATGTCATTTTATGCCGTTGTTGTTGTTGTTCTGCTTCTTCTTCGTCAATGGTAATATCGAAACCATCGTAAATATGTTTTAATAATTGTTGTTCTTTATTTTCATTACAATGTTTCCCGCCTAGTTTATAGAAGCGAGAAAAAAGGATTAATCCATTTTTAACATTTATTCTCATTTTAATGAAACTCAGAAATCATTTTCGGTAGCATTTTTAAATGTTAACACAGATCAAATGTTTCTTAGCTAATTAAAATACACCCAAGGACAAAAGTTAGGTGTCCATTTCGTGAATGATGAACAACACCGAAAGCATTAGATAAACATCAGCGTTAAACCATCGGCCTATCTAATCCAATGTTGTGCATACATAATTGCTATTACCTAATTCATCACTATTGAATTTTGATTTTATACTGTGGTTCTTCACATTTTCTTTATCTGGTTGGTTTTGTTTTCCTTCATCTAAGCAAAAAAAAGAAAATAATATGCAATAGATTTTTACTCCTTTTTCAAAAACGTCTTCTCCGATATTTCATTGAAACTTTATCACACGTACACTTATTCTCTACCACTTTTAGCTATCCGATAGGTCCCATTACATATTTATATACATTTATCAGTTCAGATCGAATGTAAGTATCATCTAACTTTGCATTAAGAATACTTTTAGTAACTATTTCACAAAAAGTTTTTTGATAATGTAAGACTAGTTTCTTTTTAGGTGCAAAAGCCATGTCTAATTTTTACCCATATTTGATCCCACTAATTTTTGTTTCTTTTTTTCAAAATGTATTTCATTGTTCTCGAATTCTCGTTTTCTGTAGATAAACGAAGAAAGAATAATTTGTTTGTTTTATATGAGACAAACGAGAATTTTTCTATACCTTTTATAGTTTTTTCTCTGAACAGTCCATTTGCAAACATCATTGAATGATGGTAAATGTAATGTACTTTTATTGAAATAAGCATACTGGAAAATGTCAAAATAAATCAGTTTAAGGAACAATTTTGATCTGCTACTTACTAATTTATGATCCAATTTGAGAATATTCGTCCAATTTTTATGAATAAAAGTTGATACCTTACGAAAATCTCGATTACTATACGATATCATCTAGGTTTACAAGTCATAATATCTTGAAAGACTTATCACGTGAGTTTTGATCACTTTTAAAAACAATTGATATCTTTCAATAAGACTGAGTAAACTTCTCATCACATCTTCATGAAATTTACTTCATACTAGTTCAAAAACACATGAAATTAGAAAGTAATGGAAATAATACTATACAAAAATATACAGAACGACTTGAAGAACTTTATAACAAATAATAACAACAAAAAAAAACATTCACATTATTAATCAAAACGTGTTTTTCGTTTATCACCCATTTCTGTTCCTGATCGAATATCTGGAAGATCAACTCGTCTCATGCCAGTCGCATATTGTATCTAAAAATAGATAAAAATAAATCATTTTTTTATTATTTATGGCATGTGACTGTTGTTATACCCTCGTTCTTTCTCTGCGTTCTTTCTCTCGTTTTTCCATTTCTAATTTTTGTGCTTTGCCTAAAGAAAAATTACGTTAGAAAGAAATAAACAGAAACATCGGCACTGTTTACCAAGTTCGTCGTAAAAGCTCTCTTTACCCCACAAATGAAGATTGTAGAACTCCTAAAGAAAAATATAAGAGATGTTCAGCAATAACAGTATTTCTAAGTCTGATTATGGTTTTACATAACATAATTTTATTAACTGATTTTTTAAACAATAGAAGCAGAGAAACGTCAAAATACCGGTGGAAAATTTGTTCCAATTTCATCGATATCCAAATGGGCGACAATTTTTTCATACATGCTTGGATTTCGAAAAGCTTTTAATTCTTGTATTCTTGCATTTTGATCTAAATGATCGACGCCGGTCTTTTTCATACGTATATAATATTCTTCAAATTTTTTCTAACAAGAAATTAATAAACAGTACAAGTAAATTATGATGCATAGGAGAATAATAAAAAAAGTGAATTTACCTCTAATTTAGCTGAACATGATTTTGTTGGCTCTGGTGGTATTTTTATATCACTGTCTTCCGGAAATATCAAAACTAAAAAAAATTAACAATGGTAGTATACTCTATAGCTTCTAGCTTTCTCACTTACCTTGTGGCAGCTCTCGTGTTGAAGGAGATACATCTTCAGTTTTCAGCTAAAGAAAAAATGAAAATCAGACATGAAGTTAGACAAAGCATCAAAATAAATCGAAATTAATTCTGTGAGAAGCAAGTCAACTGTATGAACTATTTTTTTATTTTTTATTCTAGTGTAATATAACTAGATCAACTGATAAATGTCTCCAAATTTTACGATTGTACTACTTTTGATTTGTTCTGCTTTTCTTTAGCAAACTCTTTAAAAGCACATGCTAGGTCTATAAACTGTTCTAGAGCACAACTCATTAATTTTCAAGAACTTTGTAACGAGGATCTCTAAAAATACCTAATGGGCACTTCCCAGTTATGATATATAACGTTTTTTGTAAATGTGTAATTGTAAACTTTTTTCTAGTTAAGCCTGGACTCATTTGTCGTACGCGCTTTTCACCGAAAATACTGGCTGTATTTCACGATTCATCTAGTCTTCAGCCAAAAGTTATCGGAAAAAAACAATGTTTCAGGGCGTTTGCGCAAAAATATGACTTTGAAGTTAAGTTGAATTTTGGATTTGAATTGAAATTTGAATTCAAAGTTGGTAAGTATTTCATAATTTTGCAGTGAATGCTGCAGTAGCGATACTATCATTCTGTCTAACAGGTTTCAAAGTAAAACAAAAAGTGAAACTTAGTGTTAGGAGATTGAAAGAAAGAGTGTGTTTAACTTTCAAGGTGTCGAAATAAATACCGGTGTAACATCCATTAATTCCAACAACACATTTGTCGTTTGTGTCTCTTCTTCCATTTCGTTTTCATTTTCTTCTTCTTCTTCTTCTTCTCCCTCTGAGAAATGGTAACTAACTAACGATGATTTTGCTGCAAAGATACAATAAATATATTTATTTTCAGAGATAAAGAAGGTCAAGTGATAAGAAATACCTTTTGTTAATGGGTGTTTTGTAACAACAGTTGCTGACTGTTTCGAATCGGGAGTGGAAGTTTTTGATTTCGGTTGAAAATCCTCATCATCCGACGCGGATATGTGATCAGTATCATTTGGAACATGTTGGACAGGAATTTCCGTTAAAATTGGCGTCGTTACAGATTCTGATTCTGTAATCAAATTGTCCTCTAACATCTTTGTTTAGAGAATTAACACTCGATGATTAAGTGCATAAACAGCAACGTAATAATATAGTAAGAACTTCTCACTGGTCATCATATTCAACATTTTGCTATCACGTGATCCTGTTTTTACCATTTTAATGTTAGTGGCATATTATAAGCGAATGCATATAGCCCATAGAGGACGCTAGATAGGCGTACCACATTCGCGTACGGTAAATAATCGTAAAACAACGCTGAAACGTATAAAAGACTGTGCAAAAGCACGAGTGAGATCTAGGATAGTAACGATGCTTTAATAATTACAAATATTAAAAGATTAAAGAATAAACTTCTGCTGATGAGTGATACCTAGAAACCAACTTTTTTTACAAAAAGAAAGTAATGGTATCCGTTCACTTTTACCATGTCACATGAACATTAAACGGTGTGACTGTATTAAGTAGAACGATTAAAGATTAAAGATCGAACTATGACCGAATCAAGACATTCTAATGGGGCATTCTCACCGATTTGGACAACAGAAGGCGAAGCGTATGTGAACAGTAACTTCAAGGTCGAAAATGATTCATTGATTGTCGATGATATTCTTCAAAGTAACGGTAAGTTTTAAATAATACTTACAAAGGTAAAGTCTGAAAAGAATAATCGCTATTTATATAAAATTTCTCTTTTGATTTGAATTTAGAACCTTATCTATCAAGATCGTTTGTATCAAGTTACAGCAAGTAAGTAGCATTGAATACATTTACCACACTGCAAGGAACTAGATTATTTTGCTTTCTTTAGTCCTACGTATGAGTGTCTCCGCTCACTTCGTCCATCTCAGACAAGTTCCATCGGGGAACAATTACGCCATTTGAGACAACGGTTTAATGATCGCACAGAAGCAATCAAAGAGAAAATTCACCAAGCACCTGATGACGGTGAAACATCAAGTGAGATTTTGCGTATAAATATTTAAGTTCACACTACTATATTGTTCTTTCGTAGGTGTAACAGTTGGTAGTGATAAGCCTGTTCAGCATCGATCAGCATTCAGCGATGAGGCCGCATCTGGTAGTTCATCAAATGGGTGGCAAGCAAGTTCAAAACGTCAGTTTAAAGTACAATTGAAAAAAACAGCACTTTCCTTACTACATCAAAGTGGAATTCGACAACCAGTTGATACTGACAGTATGTAGAGATATTTTCTGGTAACTAAAGACGGTATGAATCTTTTTTTTCTATTTCAAAGGTAATTTACATCTAATTTGGTTATTCTGTGTGGCGATGGCTTATTTATATAATTTTATATCTGTTCCTCTACGTATTGCCTTTTCAGTTTGGACTCGTTCTTATTGGTATTGGATGATTATTGATTATATTTGTGACGCACTATACATTATAGATATGTTTGGCCTACAAACACGGATAAAATATCTTGAAAATGGTTTATGGGTGGTGAGTGTAATTTTTCATGAGAATACAAAATGCTTCTTTCATCTTTCGAATTTATGTGTTTATGAAATACGTCGCTGTTGTTGTTTTAGACTGATTTTCGATTAACAGCCAAGAAGTATATTAAATCTTTTCGTTTTATAGTTGATTGTTTATCCATCTTACCATTAGATTTATTTTATATTATATTTGGTCGTCAAGCAGTCTTTCGTTTACCACGTCTATTAAAATTTCAGTCATTAAATGATTTTTTCAAATGTTGTGATCGTTGGGTACAATCATTTTTTGCTAGTTTAAAAATTGTGAAAATATTTGTATTAGTTTTATGGCTCGTATTATGGGTACACTTGTATGCTTGCGTCTATATTCTATTTTCAAATTATGAACGATCTCGTGGTGCCGATAACAACTGGGTCTATAAACATGAAACAAATCCGCGAATGTCTGCTTACTCCTACTCATTCTATTACTGTTTTAAAATAGCATCAACTATTGGTAATATACCTGATCCGGAAACATTGTATGAATATCTATTCGTTACTGTTGGCTATTTATTTGCATTGTTTATTTTTGCATTATTAATTGGACAAATTCGTGATGTATTTCAGTCAATGAATCAAAGACGAGCAGATTATCAAAATAAAGTTGAAAATGTAATGATTTATTTGAAAAAGTTTGAATTACCTACAGCTGTACAAGATCGAGTACGAATGTGGTTTCAATATAATTGGCATGATCGAAATACGCTCGGTAAGAGGATTGACTTGTCGAAATTTGAAACGGACATTCCGAAGATGAATTTATTTAACATGTAGGCCAATCGTATATCTCTTTTATGTGTTAACTAATTAAAATATCTGATAGATTTTAGAGTGTCAGGAAAAGAATACAGTTTTAAATATATCTAATATTCTTGTTTAGAGGATGATGATAAAACATTAGCGTTTTTGCCTACTACATTACAAACCGAACTTGCTATTAGCATCCATTATGATATACTGTCAAAAGTAGATATGTTTCAGGTAAGAGATAAAGATTACATACTTATTTTGCTCAAAATCAATGTTGTCTTTTAATATGTTAAGCAATTTTTCCGCATATGTATTTAAAATGACGTAAGTGCTATATACACATTTTTTTGCTAAATTTTTTGCATGAAAGACATACTAAATTATATTATATATATTAACAATTTGCTTATTTTTCACTTTCATTCTCGAAAGAGCTTCAAAAACATTTTTTTAATATATAATTTCAACTGAATACTTCTATACTTTTTTTAATAATTATAGGATTGTGAAAAATCATTTCTATACTCATTAGTACTCAAGTTAAAATCTTCATTATTCTTGCCGGGTGATTATATTTGTAAAAAGGCAAGGAAAATTAAAAGACAAACTTCTGACTATAGTTCTACATTCAGTAATCTTAATTTCAGGGTGAAATTGGTAGAGAAATGTATATTGTTAATCACGGCGTACTAGACGTTTTTATTGGCGATAAAAAAGTATCAGAATTGAAAGAAGGAAAAGTGTTTGGAGAAATAAGGTTCGTATTATTAGTTGAATCATCTATATATTTTTGTTCTATATCTGTCTATCTATATCTCTCTCTCTCTATATATATATTTTTTAGTTTGTTAGAAGTCGCTGGTGGAAATCGTCGAACGGCTGATGTATGTGAGAGAAATTCCGAAGAATAATATACGTCAATTTTTATATCTGTTTATTTAGGTTATCTCACGAGGATTTTCTACATTGTTTACTTTACACAAGTTAGATTTAAACGAAGCATTGAAAGATTTTCCTGAGGCTGGAAGACAATTGCGAAAGAAAGCAAAGTATGTATATATACCTTAAAAAACTTAAAAAACTCATGATACTTTGATTTTGAGCATTTGAAAAGTAATTTACATATAATCTAAAGTTGTGTTTATTTAATGAATCGAATGAAACGTCAAGCATAAAATCTATCTAATATATAAACATGAGCTGTTTATTTTTTAGAAAAATGATGAAGCGTTCGCCTGATGTTGAAAAAGACAGAAAACATGCTCTTATATCAGATAACGAAATTCATGCTGAACCGATTATTGTCGATTGTCCTAAACATCATCCAAAATTACTCGATACCGTTATGAGGGTAGATGATCTTGTTATCTATTACACATTTATCTTTAAAAAATTTGATAATTTCTAGGCTGTTGGTAAAGAGTCAAAACTTATTGAAGTATTAAATCAACCACGTAAACCGGTATAAAAGTTTGATAAAATAAATATATACATTTAATCTAATACTTTCTTTTTCAGTCGCTACGACTAACATCGTCAAACTCATCCGTTCATTCATTCGATATTAAAAATCAGAAAAATGGTATGTTGAATTATATTTTTTTAATAAAAATAATTAAAATATATTATTTTTAGATATTCAACATCAAGCACAAGTTCATAAGGATTCCGTTAGTCATCATGGACAAAATCTGCTTAGTCAGAATTCAACAACAAAGCGTGTAAAATCATTACGAACAAAATTATTTTCAAATCGATTCCAGTAAGTATCTGAAATGATTTCTGTATAAGAGCTTTGGTTTAATTATTTTTTCTTATTTAGAAATTTACCTTCCAGTTCTGTTCCACTGGTTAGTAGTGATAGGAGTATTAATTATGAGGATGAGCAACAGCAAGAAGCAGATGACTTTAATTATTATATAAAACAACAAGAACACCGGAAGATGCTAACTACATCAGAAACAAGTGTCACACTCGTGTTCTCTGAAGATATTGTCTAAAAAGATTAGAAGGTGTAACAGAGGATTTTATTATCTATTTCAGGCGTCAGAGTTAGACTTATTTGCATTACATGGCAACTAATTGTTGCATTTTTACGTCTATTTATTTTTTTCATGAATATGATCTATGTAAAACTATTTTATTTCTAACGCATTTCAGATAATAAACAGTACATATAAGGAAAAAGGTGCGATGTTTTTCTACTAAAGAACATTTCCAGATATTCACCTACAGTGAACAACTTTGTCTTTTGACGTAAACATATTTTATAACTTCTAAAAAAAAAAGCATTTGTAAAACTTAGAAAGACACTTTTTCTAGGCTTTCTGGTATTCTTTTTCTAGTCGTTTACTTAAAAACAATTTAAAAATGCTTTCTTTCCGGTTTTCTATCAAACTAAGTCAGAGAAAAATGCTCGCGAAGTTTTCAAATTTATTTTCTGTATATTTTCTAATATATTGATTTCATCTATTTTGTCAAACAAATTTTTCAACGCTTTACCTTAGTTTTCTGAAAACTCAAATTTCTATAAAAACCAAGTCATACAAAAACGCTCAAAGAGTATAAAAAGAAAATTTTTATAGATTTTCTGATATGCTCGTTCGATATAATGAAATATCTCTATATATAGAAGAGATATATAGAAATATCTTAAAGTGCTTTCTTGAGATTATTTCGAATCCTGATTTTGCATTCCAGCTTCACTCCTGGATTTAGAATCAAATCATAAAAAAATCTTTTTCATTTATTTATACATTAAAGTCATTAGCTTATGGCCATAATGTAGCTCACACGATTCTGGAATCCTTTTAAATTAAAATTAATTATTTGGAAAAATCGGTATATATCAGAATAAAAGGGAAGATTTTGAAAATATAGAAACTCCACGTGCACAGATTATTCAGTTATGGAAGAATAAGTTCACTAGATAAAGTAATATAGATTAAGAACTAATTCAATACTGAGCACAAGAATATGACGGAATATTTAATTAAAAGAATTCACCAGAAAATAATGTAAAGAAAACAATACAGATTATTATTTCGATTGTAGAATATGTTTGAAAAGATTATCATTTCCACTAGTAATGACAGTCTTTTCTTTTAGTTTTCGTTTTGAGTATGAATCTCGAACGACTTGATGAATGCGAGGATCAGAATGAACTTATAATCGATTAAATACGTGAGTGAGATTTGGTACATGTTCACATTTGTGAGATAAAAAAACTGTCAAAAATTTTATATATCCTTATTTGCACTTTCTAATATTTCTTTTGATAATTCTTCAAATGTAATTCTATTATTCTCATCGATTAATTTTGATTGAAACATTATACTATGAACAGTCAGTGAATATCCAACCCATTCAAGTTCATCTGAAATAAAAAGTACAAATTCATTAGTTAATTTTTTATATTTCCTAATTCAATGAAAACGAGAAAAAAGGCGACGTTTGTCTATTCTCGACGAAAAACTAGATGACTTCTAAACTCTTTATCGACTGGACAGGCGTAGAAATAGACGGGGTGTTGCGGTCTATGTATGAGATGATATTCAACAAACTCAAATTTTTTCTTCAAAAGAGATCGAAACTATTTTCCACTCACTAGTCATTGATGGAAAAACTTATTTTTTGTATAATTTGTATCGAGTAACCGATCCGAAATTAATGAAAATTGATATATTTTTTGATAAATTGCTTCGGATTTCCTTTTACAGCATATCACAACGAATGAATCAGTATTTCTGACGGGTGATTTTAACGCTTGAACTGTGAAACCTGGAGTTTCAAAAGATCTCAAAACCATTCTTGATACTTTTGGTCTTTTGTCAGGTATTTTATCTCCAATCACATTTAAACAAGCACATATCGATAATATTTTGTATTCTTTTTCGGTTCGTCCTCCTAATTCGAATACTGACATGCTGCATTTTTCCATTTAAAACAGAAACTATCGTGAAAAGTATACAAATTCTCGGCTATGACAATATGAATGTCGATACATTCATTCTTGAGATCAGCCACATTGATTCTTCGTTTTATCTTTCGACAAACCCAAATATAGCAACGAAGATGTGGCCTGATCATTTCTCAAAGGCGATAGAAAGCTCTATACCAACAAAAACTATCTTCCATCCAAGGAAAATACATCTGTTCGTTTGATTCCCCAAACTCGTTTTTTAATTAGAAAAAGAAAACTGTGCTTTTAAAAAATTTCAGTCGAGAGGTGCGCGCGAATAAAATGACCGAGCTATCGTTTCTTTTATATAAACAACTACGTACTCAAGTTGTAAATTCGATCAAAAATGATATAGTCAACGTTTTTCATTCCATCATAAAGCCGTTAAAAAGCAGCAAACATTTTTGAAAATATATAAATAAACTTCGTTCATCCGAATGTGATCTTCCTTCTGATTTACACTCAAATACAAAAATAACTACTGATGACAAAACAAAAAGCAAACTATTTTCTGAAAATTTTCAAAATTCTTTTTCCACCGCACAAAGGTTCTTGGCACTACAACACATTTTATCATCGCCTAAAACTCTTCTTGATATTCATTTCGATACAGGTAATATTTTAAAAGCAGTCATGTCTTTAAAAAATGAAAGCTCAGTTGGTACGGACAATATACCAGTTCGATGTCTATTTCTCACATCTAAATCAGTTGCTCGAGCAGTTAAACCTTTTACCGCTAACCAATAGGAGAAAGTATTCTCGTTTCTTATATTTCCACCAACTATACTACAAGTTGAATATCCTCTCAACCTTAGACCACCGGCGGGTCCAAATACAGCTATTTCAGACAAAGTTAGTCTCTAGTTCCTTCGTTCCTCAAACTTCAAAAGATTGGAACTTTCTATCTGTGAGTATTGCACATACTGAAAATGCCGCCTTGTTTAAAAAATTGCTTAAAGAACATGTCAGTTTCTGTTGTTGAACATGTATTTTCCTCTTTTTTTTGTTTTTCATTACCACTATCTGTTTCTTTTTGCTGACAGATTGACTGTTCTTTCTGAGATTACCATCGTTCTCAAAATAATTGAAACTGAATTTGTAGCATCAAACAATATTTTTATAATTTAAGCCATTGGGTGCCTATTGCATGAACGAAACTATCATACGAATATAGAACTTGCTGAGTTCGCACAACAATTGTATGAGACGGTGATATATTACAAATATTCATTACATTTAGATGAAACCTCTTGTCTACCAATCATGATCAGATTCAAATAAAAATCAAATGGATTTTACGAAATCATTTTGTTAATTAAATATTTCAAAATTCGAGATATATTTGTGCATATGCACAAGCTTTATTAGGTCGATTAAAAAATACTTATCGAAATGCTGAGGTATCATAATTGGACGTGAATTTACACGGAAATCCCGGTTGACAAATTTTTAAGAAAAACCAGGTAAAAGATCTCGGTTACAAAAACTCACTGAAACAAACTGATCTAATCAAAGATTTTTTATGGCAAAATCATTGATTAGATCACGAGAAAAAATCTAATTAAGCTTATGCTAACCTCAACATGTTTTAGATCTCGCAATATTTGAGTGCATAAACTGTCTTTATTCTCCATCTAATTTATACTAGTTTTATAGTAAATGCATCGAGATCTAAACCATGTTTTCTGGTCATACAGATGAATCAAGATATATTACATGCTTTTTCCAATGATTTTTTCATGCTTCTGGCATAAAAAGATTTGGTTTTCGTAACCAAGATCCTTTGCATGCTTTTTTCGAAATTTTGTCAATCAGGATCAAAAGCATGTTATTTTCGTGATCATTTCTCATTTTGTCCTCATAATTGAAGATAGAGCACAATTTTTATTTAATTGACAGTTAAAAGGCTAATTGAAATACTTCAAAAAAGAAAAATTATTGTTCCTGGTAAGTTGCAATATCGTGAAAAATCGGGCCACGATAGTTCCATCACCATCGCCATATATGGAAATTTATAAATCGGTGAATACACCACTAGAAGATTCCAATATTTTCTCGTAGATATTCATTGATAATGATAATGTTGATATCAATTGAAGCTTTTTTCTCATTGAAGAAAAGTGAGAGAAAAGTTTTGTTCTCAACTATTTTAGAAGACAAAGTGGAAAAAGCATTTTTTTGTTAAATTTTGATTAGATTGGTTACCAAATCTGGGCAAGAGCTTAGATGAAATACTTGGGAGAAAAGAGATCGTTAAAGAGAATTTTTTTTTCCAAAACCAGGAGGACGTACATCCTCTAACACCTCTCCTTTGGCCACGGTACTGACATTGCGTATAATAGATGTCATAAAAACGATGTAAGCTAAAGAGAATTTTCCGTGTCATTCTTTTCCTTATTACTTTTCACATTGTATATTGAAATACTCTTAGCCGCTGCTGGATACGAGACTTCCGAATTACGAACCATGGCCGTGATCGACAACTGGACTACAGTTAACAAGCATCTAACTCTTTGTCATCCACGACGCGAGTTGATTGTCGACTGGTATATTCTCTCCTTCCAAAATTCTTCTCAACAAAAATTATTATAGTTGTGGATCCTATCTCGTTCGGAAAGAGATAGGACCCTTAAAAATCTTAGACACTTCTTAATTTTATCTTACTAAGATCTTACCGTTTAAGATCTTAAAAAGATTTAATGATTCTACTTTTATTCACCCTTTTGTTTTGCTCTCATTCATTTATATAAGTGACACCGAAATTATGACTGATTTTATGGGTTTTTTTTTCCAGACTCTGCTAGTATTTGGTCTCTCGAAAGTGTTCAACAACTTTTCAGAGAGGTTATATACAGGTCAACGTCCATGGTTGGACACCCGAAAATATGAAATTTTTCTTCATTTTTCAACACCGTTCAACTGCTGCTTTGGATAATGCGGATTAAAAATTGAACTAATTTAAATAAAAGTAATGTGTATATCAGAAAATCCAATCGATTGAAAATCGGATATTTTTTAAACTCCTCAGTAACACTTCGAGATATATCCTTGTGAATAGAAGTTTAATAGATTAAAGCGAAAAGATCAGTAGAAAGCTTTATAATCAACAATTTTCTTATACTCGATTGACCAGTGTTACTTTCATGCTTAGCTTTGCAACCACATTCTAGAGACTATTTTTTTAACAGTCATTTTAAAAGAGAAACCGTCTATTTATGTTACCGAAACTCGAATGTTTGTTTGTCTTTAGAATGTTTGTTTTTCTAGAAACATGATCAAATCTCAACGTATGTTGACCGTACGCCTGCACTTGTTACTATTCTCTTTTTTTCCAAGTGGTTAATGTAACTGTTTTGTGCATGGCGCTATATGATTCTATATGTTCTTCTAATCGTCAAATGAACACTATTAAAATATATTTTACTATAGAAAAGTAAAGAGTAAGACATTCTCAACTTGAATCAAATTTACATCTTGTTGAACGATACAATGATACTTGACTAGTTGAAAAAAAGAAGAAAATAATTTTACCAATAAAAGTAATATGAAAGAAAAACTATCGCCATTGGATTAAAAAAGTAGTCAAATTAGGGCCTCGTACACACATATTCTCTTAAAAATCAATTAGAAAAATTTTTTCAATTTGATGAATCATCGTAGCTTGAAGCTACGTTCATGCAATATAAAACAATCATCATATTAATTCAGTGAATAGACAATATAGACTCGAATCGACTATCTGTAGAGAATTCATTACTTTAACAACAAAATTTTCTTTTCTTTTTCTATCTCAAACAAATCAGTTTGATTATTTGTCAGATCAAGTGTTCGGCATTCTCTCTCGTTTAAATTATATTACGCAGTGTGTATCATATCGCATCTTTTTAATGAGTGTATTAACCACTCATAATACAGGTAAAAAAAAGACAAGAGAACTTTCTCCTCTCTCTTTCCTGTTCTCTATTTGTATGCATAATGTCTATAAACTATGGTCATTTGTTTTTCTTAAAAATAATGAACAACATGTACAATTAAAGTTTGTTGAATCTAATAGATCACGATGGGAGTTCATCAAAGTTTTCGCATGATTGTATCGATATTGTTCATTGAAAAAATAAGGCAACAGTTGGAGCTATTGTAATTCTATCATCAATGAACAAACTATTAATTAACGTTATATTTCAGCTTTTTTTATCATAGCTTAAGTTTAAAAGGTGATCTTGACATATACAATCAAGCGGGTGTCGTTTGACTAACGGTAATGAATAACAAATGGGTAAGGAGAATGTTGAAGATTATATTCCATGATATCGTTATCGAGTTCTCCAGATTAGTTACCGCCTAAAAACTGTTGTTTATTGTCTTATATCGTTCGAGCTGTGTTCAACAGTTTCGTATAATTGGCTTATTTACAACATTCATAAATAGAACGCAAAGAAAAAGGCGTTTTAAAAGTTAAATGTTCAAGCATCGAAAGTAGGCGGTAAACTTTTGTCAAATCGTTAAATCTATAAAACGTTTTATGTATATGTTTGTGACCTAATGTACTCAACGGAAAAAAATTATATTCCTCTGTCATTCATTCATACTTTTTTTCCTTTTCTTATAAAATAAAAGAAATACTCGAGAAAAAAATCATCAACGTCTGCCGCTACTCTTCTTACTTAATTCAACCATATCGTCAAGTATCTAGAACAGTACAATGAAGAAAGAAAGACAACTGAGACTTTATATACACAAATGAACATTTACTTATAATTACGTGATCTTAGTTTAGAACAATATGCAAAGAATAAGTACTATGAATCACTACTTGAAATAGACGATCAAAAGCGACAGCATTAAACTGTAAAAGCAAATTATATTGATCAAAATCAAGTATGATGATTTTGGGAAAAAAAGTTTGACATTGGCTGATTCTTTTATTGTATACATAAAATTGATAACTTTAGTTAAGAACTGTTGATATAGAGAAAAATTCCTTCTGTTTTATTGTGGTTATAAACCGACAATCAAATGTTTTCCTTATCACGTATGTCTGAATTTTAATTTTTAAAAAGAAAAAACAGTTAGTCGTTCATTGATGGTAATTTTATCTTGTCTTCCCTCCTACTCAGAATATGGACAACAATAGGAAACCTAACGATAATATGAAAGATTCTAAGAAAAGGATGACTTTTGTTTAGACAACACGATGTAAATTTTGACCATATACATCGAGCACTAGGCTTCCGAATTGAGACCAATTTTTGGTTAAAAATTATTAATTGGATTAAAAAACTGGTCTGAATTCGGAATTGAAAATTTTAACAAGTTAGACAGGCTAATTAAGATTATATATAACCTTGCTGATAAAATATAAATTAGAATTATATATTACATGTCACAGAAAAGAATAGAAATGAAACAATACGGAGAAACAGACCTGTATATCAATGAACTTTATACTGCGATTACTAATCATTTTGTCAATGATGATCAATATTACTGTTGACTGCATCTGTATTTTACAGTGTAAATGAGTGTTTCTCAAACGAAAATGAGCCTTTTCACTAGTGTATATGGAAAGTCCAAAAGTACGATTAGCAATCCTAATTTTAAACTGGAGAGGGTATATAACGAGGCAATTTGCAAGGGATATGAACGCACTGTAAAATTTTAATTATAATGACGTCTACAACAACCGCACATTTTTCTCGTATTAAAAGTGAAAAAGATCAAGATACTGTACTTTATAAAGGTTATTTATATCGGTTAAAGCGTTCAAATAAGAACGGTACTGAAAATGGGTTTGTACTCGTAATTCGTGTTCTTGCTCAATAACAATAAAAGGTAATGCAATGATTGGAAGTTATTGTATTGCTGATAATGGTGCACATAGTCCAGTGCATGATCCCAAATTATCAGAAAACGTTGTAGCATGTATAAAGTCAATCAAACGACGGATTATGACAGAACCAACAGCTCCAATACCTCAAATTTATGATCAACATGTGAAAAAATTTGTAAGTTTTCTTTGTTCACATATTAGAAAAATGTGCCTTTGATATGCCATGTTAGTTTTTAGAGAAGAGAAAATGGTACTGCTGCCTTCGTTCCAGTCTTTTGTTCCGTTAAACAACAATTTTATGATGCTCGTCTATTTGTATTTCCATCATTACCAAAAATATTACAATCACTTGTTATACTTCATCAGGTGACTCGTACATCATTAGGTGAACAATTTTTATTTTGTGATAATCCATATCCAACTTTATTATTAGGTTTTTGTTCATCATCATCATTAGAAATTTTGCTGCTCAATTCCGAAAGAGCCATTGAGCATTATCACAGCGTGATTCGATAGTATTATGATGACAAGTTAGCAGGCGTATGCTTAGGTAAATCGATCTATTGAACATGAAAGAGCAACGATAAAGATGAACTACATAGATAATGATCACACACTTTTATAAACATGCAAATATTGTAGAACAATAAAAAATAACAATTGATAAATGGCGTGAAGTTGAATATTAGTGATTATGTTTCTTTTTACTACCGAAATTTCGATGACAATGAAGAAAAGAAGAGACAAAAAAAATCAAAGAAAAAGTAAAAAAAGAGTTATTTACGTTGCGTGTGATTTAGCAATTGATAAAAACCGTTCAATTCGATACATCTGTTCACATAACCTATCCTATGAGCTGTTCTGTTTTAGTGGGTATATGTGTAATGACACAAAAGGCTGCATATCAGTAAATAGCTTTCTGTAATAAAATGTTTTCTAATTAAAAACAATGATTGTTAGTTTAGTGTGACTTTCCATACTTGACATGTCTCTTTGAACGACGAGGACATGATTTTGAAAAAAAGTTTTTTCTATAAAGAAGAAGACTTTTTGGCTGAGATAAACGGACCTTATGCAAAAAACTGAAAAAAAAGCCAAGTCCTGAATAGCCTGCCTTGACTTATATTACTTATTACTTGATTTCAGTCTACTTAGTAAAGCATGAGACTTGATTTCCCAGACTTAATAACTGGGTAAAAGCCTTGGCTAGACTGATGACGGGAAAAATCTCTGACCTGAGTATCTCTGAATCTGCCTTGAGAGTGACTGGTCGTTCTAATTTGTCCCGCATATCAAACGTCAACATGTTATATCGGTCTATTTTGTCGGAGGGTTTAACGCTTAGAAAGATTTGCGCTAAAATTGTCGATGTAATACCCATAGAAAGATATTTGTACTATATATATATCTTTATATGTATAAAGCTTCTGTTCTGTAAGGGTGCTCTTAAAGAAGTTACAGACGGATGCTTTTTGAAAAGTTGTTCAGCTTGAAAATCATTTTTTTTCTTCGAGTTTAAAGGTGAAGTCCGCATAAGAACGGAAATCGGCCCACTAACAATAACCGCTCCAATCGGTCCAAACCTCATCAGAATCACATCCAATTATGATATTCAATGATTTCGACCCTTCCGAGCGCTTTTAG